AACTTGGCTTCTGTGTTTGGAACTTATCACTAATAAATAGCACTATAGTTTTGGATTCATCAACCCAAGTTATTGGATAGTTTTTTTGAATCAGTAGAATGTTTCCCGAATGTCACAAGATGAACTATCGTAATCTAATGTACTCAAGGTACATGAATATCTATACCAAGCATCAATTCAATACAATCATCAAGAATAGTTGAATAGCATTTTTTGACCTAAAATAACAACAATATTTGCTAAAATCATAAAATTAAAGATATCGTCAGAAAATCTAAGAGAGGTCCAACCAAGATGCATTTATACCAAGTATAAAAGCACTTGGATTGGCGGATTACATAAGAAGTTGAAAATAGTATTTTCCCCTTTGATGACATGAAGCTAAAAAATGTGCTCTGTATATACCTTTCAATCCAGTGAAGAGGCTCTCGTTGATTTCAAAAGCATTCTCAAAGTATGCCTGAATCACTCTGAAAAACAAGTAAAACATTATCAATGACATAGCCCCTGTTATATATACAGTTCACTAATGAAACATTAGTTGTGTTGTATGTAGTATTTAACTTGTTTTAGCAGGCAATGTTCAAGAAGATTTGTCAACATGGGATCTTATCTTATTTGAAATAAGATTTATTTTTTTTGCTGAAAAAATGTTTTTACGAGAAGCTCATGCAAGATAATTGAACCTAACAAAGTTGTCAAAAACCTTGGCCTCATGCTAAGGAAGCAAACGTTTAGCTTGGGTTAAGTAACGCTATGTACGGGTTAAAACTGATCTGTTGTACAGACCCGGTTTGGATTCTTAACATGGAATATATAAACAAAGCGTTCATATGCAAGGTTTCACGATGGATCTTAAATACCCCAATATCACACCATAAACCATAAACCATGTGAAGCAACGAAATACAGTGTGAAAACTGAGACATAGTCTACTACCATTAGCAAAACACATTAAAGCGAGAGGGTCGTCACCTGCGCACTCTCGGGAATCGAGTCCCAAACGATGATAACACCACATGTAAAAACGGCTCATGGGTAGACGCTTGTTTGTAAACAAAGACATGCAATGGCCATCTGATGCATGCGCAGGTGACTCCTCCCTAAAAAGAATGTCATTCAATGGTTGAAATTCATGAAAACACAGTGGTAACAGAATGTCATTCAATGGTTGAAATTCATGAAAACACAGTGGTAACACAATGTCATTCAATGGTCGAAATTCATGAAAACACAGTGGTAACAGAATGTCATTCAATGGTCGAAATTCATGAAAACACAGTGGTAACAGAATGTCATTCAATGGTCTAAATTCATGAAAACACAGTGGTAACAGGGACTTATAAAATGGCTATACAGGAAGCAACTCAAGGGTGTTGTGATTAATTTTAATGAAAAATACTACACATCGAATATATTATATATTTCATCTTTGATCATTGAACAGAGAGTCTCTCATGCTATTCAGCGACTTGGTGACACGTTAAGATGCTGAACACACAACCGATCCACTGTTCGATGTCCTAGCTATTTGCAAGTAACTTCTGGTACAGTGAATACCATCATGGCTGCATTTATTACAGTACACGTATTACAATTTGAACACACGAATTAATGATGATGGTGCTGTATAGTTATTCAAAACATGTAAAATTGGTACTTGTATAATTAAGATGCTTTGCCATGAATGGTGATATTTTGATTCATTGCTTATGGTGAACGTATCAATGAATGTGTAAATAAAGAAGGGGGTGACAACTGCATGGTTGTCCATATTAAAATATTGTTGTCAATAAATCTTTAGGATTTAACCCTTATCCTGCCAGCCCCAAGTACTTTTACATTGACTTAACCAGATATGGGTTAAACCTTTTAACAGAAAAATAAATTTCAAAAAAACATAAATCATTTTTGAAACCAACTTCAGCTAAAATCATGTTGGTATCCGGCTTTTGGAGCTACTTCTAAAAAAAATAGTTAAAAACTGTATTTTTTAAGCAGAAATTTAGAAAGATAATTTTACAAAGCAAAATCTGCAGAATATTATCTCCACTGTTCAATTAAGTTCCTTTCGACTTACTCTTTAGTTGGGTTGGTCAGATCCACTGGTTTCATCGACTTCAAGTTGTACTTCCCAGTCAGTAAGAGTTCTTCCATTATGAAGCTTTAAATATGCACAAAAAATAAAGAGAATTTCTATATTAAATTTGGATAAAATAATTGAGCTCCACAAAAATAGGAATACAAAAAATTTGATTCGCTGATACAGAACAATGTATGGAAGTTAAATGTTTAGATAAACATACATATTTATTGAATATTATAATATGTGATACATGAATCATTAAAAGTTCATGGCTTATTTTGACGTATTTGAGCCGTGAAAAATGATGAATCAAGAACATCTGTTATCAATTCAGTTTGGTAAAAATAAATTTCAACTGCAGTTGAATCCCACCAGCCAATAAATGCACTCAGTGTGTAATGGCGCTAATTTGAAAATGGTCCAATGTTTTTCTATTGGCCAATAGAGACCTTGATCTTCCAATTCCAGTTTGAGTGAAATTTAAAAATATTTATAGGCAATGGGTTTGTTTTGCCAATAGTAGAGTATCATATCGAATGGCACGCATATATCAGGCATCATACCGGACAATTTAATGCACACGCATTTTTGTCACATCACCAAATCCAAAATGGCTGACTGACAGTCTAATTGCAGTTCTACAATATTTCGTGCCTATAATACAAACAGGGATGACATACATGTAGTCCTAATCTTACAAAATGCCACACAGTTTTACCATACGCTTATCGCCTGCGATTACAAATTATACATGTATGCGCGATTACAGCAAGACATTTGCAATCTCATGTAATTTTGCAATAATTCTAATACATTTCACGAGAAATCAGCGAACAGAGAAAGAATCCTGTGCGTTGCAAGAAAAAGGGTTGGGAGAATTAGAAATGACTATGTTAACAAATTTGACATTAAAAAACTGTTTGAAATCATCGGAATATTGAAGAGAAACATTCAAATTCATCATATTTCAAATCGTCATTACCAAAATATATTTTGTAGTAGGCAATAGAGCCATGTTTTGGCGTCATTGCTGTCACGGTCTCAAATTACATACAAAGACCAATTAAACATGATGAAATGTGCGATATATAGAAAATATTGCATATTTTTTGCATGATATATATGATGAAATCTCAAAATGACTGGCCTTTATATCAACTCTGAACATTGTGTTAAAAATGTGGGACAAATTTTCATAACATATAATGAATATGTTGATTAGGTACAGTGCTTTTGTCGAGTCACAAAATACAAAGACAAGTTTCTCTATAATAAATATACTTATATATGCACATGCACAATGCAGGTGATCACACTGATGCTAACATCCTTGACGTTTGGCCATCAGTTACTACCATCAAAATATACACTACCAAAGACATAATTTATCTGTTATTAATTATTATTCCAAAATGTAAATATGTTGAATAAGATATAGCAATCCATTGAAAATCCAAATATTTGTCTATGCTCGCACAAGACAGAGGTTTTCTACATATCATATGAAATGGGTAATTTATGCAACCACTGCTTACGACATTATAATCAGCTTACAAACTAGCACGCTTTGAACGCTAGCAAATTACATGTTAATGAGTAAACAGTGCCCTTATTTGGTCGCGATGTACTGGCTTTTCACTACTTCATTTGCTACATATCTGAGAAATAATTAATTTTGTAAGGAGCATGTAACTGGTTTTTGGTAGTTTTAATTTAATAGCACTTTGGGTCATTTTAATAGTTTGTTTCTGGGTTGTTTGACTCATTTTGAGGTTGTTTCATATGGTTTTATTTCAGACATATTACATATTTGTTGGTATCTTTTTCTTTATACATGGACTAAGATAAAATTACAGACCATAGAGATTTGAAAACTATACTAGACTTAGCAGACTACAATGCTGCACTAACGCAGACTTCCATCTCACATCACTATTGAGCAAGATACACACAAGCGTATTGCTTGATGTTCATAGTTGATCCATAAAAGCATAAGTTAGCTTTCTATATAAACCGGTAAATGTATTTGTACAGTTTTCAACGAACATAGTTCTTGCGCTACAGTCACGGGCATACCCCAACAGTATATGAAAAGCATTGACAGTTAATTTTCTATACATACACCATAACTGGCAGCAATACAAACTAGAACAGAATGTTAAGGTAGAGATGCAGGTTCATGGGCACTTGGGAGTGAAATTTTTTTTTTGCTTTTTATTATCCAAACAGTCTTGGCTATAGACTGTTAAAATTTTGTAGAATTGTGAATAGTGGAACATACTCAAAAAAAACGATTTTAAAATATAGATAACAGGTGCAAACATTATCTCTTTTGAATGCTGAGCAAGATTTAGCAAGGCTGTACATAAATAATCAAAAAGAAACATTGTGAAAAAAAGAAATGACGGGACCTCCATATTATGCACTATATTTAACTTTTAACAAAACTATAATACATTTAAATTTGGAACTGTTACAGCCATTATAATTATGAGCATTAGCAAACTTCTTCCTGAGTGAATGGTTATGCAAATTATTAATTATCTTAGCTTCTTTTTAGTGCACATCCCAGTTCTTTAAAAAACATAGCTCCTAGACGCTTTGACCTTTTGTATTGAAATTTTCACAAATGATTGACAATGTGTTTATCTTCAAAACGCCGTCGTCGGGCATTGTTTTTGGTTGAACAGTGTTACAGCAATCATACAGACAACTAGACTGGGTGTTAATTTCTGCATAAACTTGAAGTAGTGAAATTTGAGCTGCTGCCCTGCAAAATTGACAACTGGTAGACAGTTTTCAAGACGGCACTTTCTTCATAGTAAACAGATGTACCCATAAACCAATTTTGTCAGGAAACAGAAGCATGGCTTGGAGCTATTTTTTTAATCACTTTTGACCAAAAAGCACATTTTTGTGCATATTTCAAACTACAGTGTACTAACAAAATTTCAAAATTCATACAATAAGCTTTCCGAAAATATATAGTTTAACTAACTAATTAAAATACCTGTCCGGTAAACTGCATCTCTACCTTAAATAACAAAAGTTTTACTTCGTGGCTGCAGATCTTAAATTTATGTAGCATGATAGCCTTTCGGCTGAGATAGCTCCACTGTTCGCAATGCACATTTTATTTAAAGAAAAGAAGATATATCATTAGAAAATGAACAATATGTATAGTATTAAAACAATCAGACTTGCGATTTACAGCAAGAAGTCCAAAAAATCACTTTTTACCAAAAATGACAAAAATAATCATCAAAATTGGAGAATTGAAGATATCATCATGAAATGAACAAATCCAAGAGAGGTCCACATGTTATACCTATATATATAATATCAAATCAATCAGATTAGACGTTTTTAACAAAAAGTCAAAAATATCACTTTTTACCAAAAATGACAATATTCATCAAAATTAGAGAATCAAAGATATCATCACAAAATGAACAAATCTGAGAGAAGACCATCTGTAGTACCTATACATGTATATATAATATCAAAACAATCAGACTTGCAGTTTTTAACAAGAATTCGAAAATATCACTTTTTACCAAAAATGACAAAAATATTCACCAAAATTAGAGAATTGAAGATATCATCATGAAATGAACAAATCTAAGAGAGGTCTACCCAAGGTACATATACACCAAGTATCAAAGCATTCAGGCTTGTAGTTTTCAAGAAGAAGTCAAAAAAGTAAAAAGTTGATAAGGACAACGACGGACAATCAGTCATAAAGTCGACAGCAGACCCCAAAAAAAGCTCATTTGTGTTTTCAAGGTGGGCATGAAAAGCACAAGTAGCCCATGGATTAATAAAAAATATACCAAGACTAATGCATTACATCCAAATTTAGATTTGCTTCAATTGTAAAAATATCACAGCCATAATTATGTTTTTAAAGATTATTGTTTAAAAAGATGGAGGATAGGGGGAGGGGGGGGGTGTTATTCAGTGATGTCTCTCTCAACAGTTTTCCATGTGCCAATAGTCCAAAGTATACTAGTATTGAAGACAGAGGAAAGATTTTGATGGTTATGATGGTTATGGAACATAGAACAGAATTTACCTTCAATGTACCTTGCTTGTTTTCACTGCCCCGCTGTGCAGCAATGAACGAAAAAACTTGTGAACTGTGTAATTACGAAATGTACAGTGCATTGATTGTATCATTGTCATAGCAACCAGAAATAAAAACAGATATTTAATGTGGATAATAAATTTTCCCTTGAAAGTGGGTATCGACAATATAATCTGCAAGTCATGCTACGTTCAATGACTAAGCATTTTTTTTTCTCTTCACAGTTGAGGTCATGACATTAAAGGACTAATACACTCCTCACTAGGGGTGGCAGGTCCTTATAATGGAAGGGCAAAATATTTCGGCTTATTTAACCAGCGGCCTGAGGACAAGTATAGCGTAGCAGCAATTTTTGTCATGAAATGCGAAAATATTAGCACGCTAGCAATAATTTGACACACCATATTGATGCAACAGTTTTTGTGGTTTGATAACAAGACCAGTGCAAAATACTATACATATACTGGTGCTGGTATTTTAAACTATCTTCAATTCATAAACAAAATATACATGTTTTATAATTATAACCTTTTGAATTTTAAAGTCAATTAATTTTTGTCAAGTTTAAGTTTAACTGTTGTCAAAGGAGAACTTTTATCTATTTAAATAAACTTTAATCAAGATCTGTCATGAACAGGAAATTTTACTCATTTTGATTCAAATTTTAACATAAAAAAAACACAAAAATACGCAAAATGATGCGAATTAATGAAGAGAATTAATGTTTGTTACTTCAACCAAGACGTGATAATTCCAATTTGCAAATTGAAGCGATAAAAATCCAATTAGCCTAATAGCTGGGAAATTTTAATGAAATATAAAAATAGTATTAATTATAATTAATTGTATACAAATATAAATTATACTACCATAATAGCGTTCAAAAATGGATAAAGGTAAATGTCCTTCAGGATTAGATTATATTTGAAACAAGGATGTAACATCAGATACATGTACGTACTCATAAATACGTGACAAGCAATA